TAAGTTATTAGATTAATAAATCCATGAAATCAATAATAGAAAAAAATATTCATGAAACCGGATTTATACATGGTGAAATTGGTGTATGGAGTAAGTGAAAAATGATTATGAAATTGGTGCATGATGAAACCGGTTTCATATATGGTGAAATTGGTGCATGAAGTAAGTGAAAATGATTATGAAATTGGTGCATGAAGTAAGTGAAAATGATTATGAAATAGGTGCATGATGAAACGAGTACAACATGAAATAGGTGCATGATGATATGGGTGCGTGAACAATCTCATTGGACAAGTGAAACAGGGTGCATGATGAATATAGTGAGAAATTTACCATAATAGGGTGCATGATGAAGATGTGGTTGGGGTTACCATTTTGCCCTTCTCGCTATTATAAAATAAATTTTTTTAATATATATATATATATATATATATATATATAGGGTTGGGTTCACGTGAGACAAGGGTTTTTCGTGAGACCCGTAAGACCAATTTATGTTCATTGATCAACTTTATAAGTTAATGTTCTAATGGTCTAAATTGCACGGTGGCAATTTTGTGATTATTGAGAAGTCTTGTGACGTTTATGAATGTTTAGATTTTCATATTGTAGATCTAATCCAAGATTTGAGAATTGGTCTTACGGGTCTCACGGAAAACACTTGGTCTCACATGATCCCAAGTCTATATATATATAATTTCCTAAAATAAACTAAACTAATCTTGATCATTGATCAAGAAAATGGATGAATGAGCTTGATTTACATGGTTTACACAAATGGAGGCGGTTTTCATTTGATATATATATATATATATATATATATATAATGAAAAAAATGTAAATAAATTAAAATTATAAAAATAAATGGTTTATATGAATGGTTATTAGGGTGTTTCTCAGTTTTTTTTAGGGCTTGGTTGTAAAATTTCCATGTACCTCACTACTTATATATATATAGAGAGAAAAATGTTCAAACAATAATAGTAACTAAATAAAATAGCATGGAAACGGTCAAATCACGTACACAATCACAAGTTATTTTACACCGACGGTCAACGTAAAGGTGTTCGAGGAACTCGGCCGCGACCCAGTGAAATTTTATATGTGATTTTCGAGTAAAATCATATTCTATTCGATGGTTTCTTTTTCTCTTATTTAGTTATTGTTCTCGTATGAACTCGACTCTCTCTCTCTCTCTCAGAGAGAAATACACACACACACGAAAAATCAAACGCAAACTTTCCAAATGTTGCAAACATGCAAACAAATATTTATGGAAATGATGAAAGTTGACTTATTATGATCTAAATATTTGTGAAATATGATTAGAGTTCATTAATTGGTATTAACGTTTATATTATGAAACAATCGATATATTTATGAAACCATATATTAGTTTTTATTGTGTTAAATTTTATAACCGACGAACAATGTGTAATTTCACATGATTTTTTTTCCATTGATGGCTTGGATTTAATGAATTCATTAACATATATTTATTTTACAATGTGAACATTTTTTATGTGCTTGTGAAACAAAAAAATACAACTAAAAAGTTTCACATCTGAACCGAATATATATATGAAAGAAACATATTGTGAAACAAATATATGCTAATTAAAATATTAGATTGTAGTCTTAGATGGAAAAAAATCATGTGAAACAATATCTTACCGTAATTAAAGTTTTAAGGTGATATACTTGCACAAATGGAGAAGTGTTCGAGTCTGGCATCTAGAGCGTGGAAGTTATAATACATCCGATAATTGGAATTGCATTATCTATTGGCAATGAGCTCTTAAACCAGTCATCTAACAGGCTGTTGTATATCTGATTTTTTTTTCTCCCACATGATGCTCTTGAGACCGAATGATGTGGGCCCGCTCGAGGGTTTTCTGATTACAAACCCTCGTTGCTCAAACTATATAGTAAATACATTAAATATGAATGTTTATCATGTAAATGATTATGATTGTTAACAACACGTAACGAGAAGTCACTTTCAGTGTTTCACTTTATACTGGTGTATGACATTCAGTGTTAGGAAAAATAATATTCAAAGTCAGGAGCTGTCTTATTTTGCCAGCAGTTCATGTTGATCTTTTCCTGATTTATATAAAAGGTGTATCATTTTATATAAATCACATGAATCGTAAAGCGACTGATCAAGTTAGAACGAGTATTCAGATATATTTTGTGGGGCTTAAGATAAAGAGATCAACATTCTATTTGTATGTCTCATTTGTGGATCCCCTTGATAATGATAGAAATTTGAAGGACCAAACTTTACTATTAAAATGTTTTATAAATTCAAGCAAATTATATGAAAAAGTAGCGTATTTTAACTTGATTCATATTTTTGGTAATGTACTTTCAAAACTTCAATTTTAGTACATAAGATGTAAAATTTTAAACATTTAAGTAC